AATGAAAAATGAAAAGAATAATACTATTTGTAAATCACCGTTTACAAATTCTTTTACAAATTTGCGAGGTAGCAAAGAGAAAGTAGGGGAATTTTATTATTTTAATTGATTAGTGAAATTTTGACTCAATTATATTTTGTAACCGACATGTAGTACAATAAAAAAAAAAAAGGAGAAAATGATCGAAACAAAAGAAAAGAAGAATGCATTAACTTTGGAAAATAAAGAGAACTATGGAGAAATTAGAAAATACTCCAGCCCTCACCTCGTTCCTATGCAGAGGCAAACCCATTTTTTCTTCAATTAATGAGATAGGCACTTTATCATTGACGCTGATTCTTGCTTCCTTTCCAATTGAGAGAGGGTTATTTTCCCCAAGTCTTATGGCTAAGTTAGAGCGTGGTCCATAAATTAACTGTTTTTCTCAACTGCCTCGTAGTATTGTAGGAGGAGCAAACAAAGTCCTGTGGTTTTTAATCGACCTACATAGAAATATTTGTAGTTTCTTGCACTTGACACTCACGAACACGATTAATAGAGACTAATTCTTTCATTTTCAAATGCATTATATTGTTTTGACATAAAAGTTCAACTACTAGAACGACTTCTACTTGTACAATCAAATTACGAAAATATACCGTCACCTATTCATATCGAGTCTGTGTTTGATCCACATTATTTCCAAAATACATTTCTCGCTCTTTTCTTTTCAGCCATACATTTTTCAATAAAATAATATTACACGTAAATCCAATTTTTTATTTTTATTTTTTTAGTCACACGTTCTCCATCAATCTATTATTCCAAAATACACTATTTGCCAAATTATGGAGGCTCAAACAAGGGCTAAGAAATAGAAACAAACCTCAAAATGAAAGAAAATGTGGAAAGTGAGGAAAAAAGAGATGTACTTCTTACATTGCTTGACCATATATATCTATAAATTTCATAATTATAATTTTAAAAGAGAAAAATCAGTCAATATACCAATAGAAGATCATCAAACTTACTATATTCGAACCATGTAGTTTGTCGTTCAAAGATGATGCCAACAATTCGAGAGGAAACTTTAAAGTTCGTGGAGAGCCAAACACACCCTCTATTTTAATTCTTAATTTTAAGGATGGATTAATTTTCTAAAATAGGAAGTATCTTACATTTAAAAAATTTCTTGAAAAGACTCTTAAAGTAGAGAGTGGATCAAATTGACTTTCTATATATACTTTATAATGATTGACTTTATACATTACAAACATATTTGATTTTATTTATCATGGGTACCAAAGAGATTTTTGTTGAAGTGTGTCAAATTTTTAAAATTTGAATTTTTTTTTTATAACATGTTCAAAACGAGACAGGATCTGGGAGGAGTTTGGCATGTTTCAATTTATGTTGGTTATTTTTTATTTAGTACTTATTAATTATTTTCTAAGAGTACTATAAATTAAAATTCAGATTTTAATTTAAATTAAAGTCAACAATTAGTTTTAATCACGTATATTACGACATCCGCAATTTTTCAACCACACATTTCATTATTTTTTATTAAATTTATTAAAAATTTGATGTTAATTCCAACTAGATGGGAGCTATATGTTCTATTAATTAGGTAGCCGTGCAGATAGAAAGCAAGTGGGTTACTTTTATCGAAGGATGAGCCGCATCCTTGATGGCCCCCACTTACCTTAACCTGGGTTTTGGTGAAGGGGGTAAATCGCAGGTTATGCTTCCAAGGATATAGGGTGGAAGGCTGTTTATACACTTGTACTTACCCAATGGCCAAATCCATATTTCAGGATTCGAACTCTTGACGCGACAGCCTGAAGGGGAGTTTTTCCCTAGATAGTGGGTTACTTTTATTGCTTTGCTTTTAGTTAGAACATTAATATCGTTTTCCCTAGATTTGGGGATAGAGCAGTTGCGGGGGGGCCCTCTTTGAAGAGGGTAGCGTAGTTGAGATCTGCTATTCAATTTTTGTTATTTAATTTGTTGTTCATCAATTAATTATTGACACATCATTTCACGTTAAAATGTCATTTATTTTTAAGTATAAGGAGTAGTTAGAGAAAAGTTGAAAGTATTAATTTAAAATGATGTATCAATAATTAATTTGGTGGATATTAAAAATTGGACAAAAGATCTGAACTCGTAGATATGGAGGCTAGGTTCCACGTTGTGAATCTATTGCCAAAGGTTAATTGGCACGTGTCATATGTTTTGAACCTAACTTGTGTGTGATGGCATTAAATTTTTATATCTCAATCAACATAAAAATTCACGAGACTTGCGTAAAATCTTACGAAATCAGCAAGATTTCTTTAAAGGAAAAAAATAAAATGTAGATTACAGACAAAACAGCACAAGAAAACTCTCTTTTCCATCTTTATTACTCAACAACACTTAGCTAATGTAGACCAATTTTGGCACCCGCATTTTGGATTAAATATAGTTAGGCGACATTGGTGCATTGTCGAGCATGATTCAACTGAAATTTCTTCCTTCGACCCCATCATCGAGCCAATTTCTATGGAGATTGTCGAAAAATCGTGCATACCCATATGCTAACCTGCGCATACTTCCTAAATATCTCGCTCTCCCATCAGATGTGCGCATTCTTCACACATCCGTGCACATCATTTTTAAAGTACGTTAACAATATTTTTGGACGAAAATCGTGATTAAGGATAAGATTTTTTTATTAATGAAATGTTAAAAATAAGAATGTGATGAAAAAAATGTTAAGAATATAAGTGTGATAATAAATAAATGTTAATGACCATTTAATGTAATTGAAATGTGGTATATTTATAAAATAAAATAAAATAAAACGTGGAGTGAATACCCCTTTCAAATATACTACTCGTTTAGTATAAATAATTAATTTCATTTTAATTTAATCAAAATAATTAATTTATCTCTTCGGTAGATTGCCGATTTGTGGAATATCAACTTAGAATAAATGTATTTAAGGTTTTGTTTTCACACAATGTCTCATTTAAAATTTTCTTCCTTTTCCAGTTGAAATTTTCACAACAAATACATGAGGTGGTTGTTGTTGTTGTTATGGGTAATTGGCGCAAAACGTCTCTACCTTTGAAAGTTTTTGTAGAAAACGTTCTTACTTTTCATTTTTTGGTGTAGAACATCCTTACCTAGGGTAATTGGCGCAAAACGTCTCCACCTTTGAAAGTTTTTGTAGAAAACGTTCTTACTTTTCATTTTTTGGTGTAGAACATCCTTACCTTTCACATTTTTTGCGCTAAACGCCATTTTCACCAATTTTTAACATAAAATAACCAATATGCACTTCTATATAAATAAAACAGAAAAGAAAAGCAAAGAAAAATAAAGAATAAATCGCAATCTGTTCCTGAACTTTTTTAAAAATGCAAATCAGTCCAAAATTTATGAAAATATTAAAAATAACAAAAACACACTCTCTCTTCTCCTCCACGACCTCCACCGTCTGATGACCACATCTACTCTTATCCACCGCCACAACCTCCGAACATTGGTACCAACACAATCTCCTCAACACCCTCTACAATTCCATCCCAAGAATTCCCCATACCATCCAATAATCCGGCAAAAATCAGCACGCAAAATTAGCTACTCGAAAAATGGACAAATTGCTGGAAGTCGCACCTCCGGCCAGCAACAGGATCGCAAACCACCACCATCCAATTGCCCACACCTAGACGACCTCAGCCATGTGGGCAATTCATCCAAAACACTTATTCAACAGGTTCAATTTGAAACTGAAAATAACGTAGTCGCTACTATTGCGCCGCGCACTGAACTTGGTTGATTTNTGACTGGCAAAGAATCAGCATGAAATTAAATTTTTTTTTTTTTGATATTTGTTGTAAATTGTTGGCATGGGTGTGGTCGTCTGGTGATAGGCAATTGATAGGAGGTGAGTTCCGATCATGGGGGTGGCCGGAATGTAATTTTCGACGATTTTTAGATTTGAGGAGAGTGAACTTTCAGCATTAATTCCGACCACTACAGTTGATGAAATTGGGAGTGGTTGAGTGGTAATTGAAGGGGGAATTGGACGACTGTTGACCCGTGTCAACTTCCGGTGGCTTGGGTAGCCGGAGGCTGCCGGAATTTGGACTCATTTGGGCTGAAAAAAGGCAAAAAAAATCGTCACCTTTGGATTGATTTGCGTTTTTAAAAAAGGTTAGGAATATATTGCAATTTATTCTTTATTTTTCCTTTTTTTTTTTTATTTATATAAAAGGGTATAATGGCCATTTTATGTTAAAAATTGGCAAAAAAGACGTTCAGTGCAAATGTGAAAGTTATGGATGTTCAGCGTAAAAAAACGAAAGGTATGAACGTTTTCCACAAAAACTTTCAAAGATAGGGGCGTTTTTGCGCCGATAACCCTTATTATTATTCAAATGAATCAAAATGTAGAAAATAAAAGCCATTTTTATAATATTAATAATATAAATAAAATAAATAAGTGTCCATTTGATAGGTAAAGGTGGAAAGAAATTTTAATTCCATGTTAATTGGAAAATAAAACCTATCAAACCTATATGAATTTGTTTTCTATGAAAATAAAGAAAATGCAACTTAAAGTGATTGTACCTTGAAATTCAATTTCCATTTTCATATTGCAATCATACAGTCAAAGTGGAATTCATTTTTTTCGAATGAGACATTTTTCATGAAATCCGTTGCAATCAGACATGGCCTAAGAGATATTTCATGGGATTATCAGAAGAATAACCAAATATTCAAATTTGTTTCATATACTGGGAAGAATGTAAAAATTTACATGATCCACACAAGTCCTTCAACACCAAATTTGCATCACTTTCGTACCTCCACAGAATCAGAGGGAAAAAAAAAAAAACGAAAGAACGACAATTTGATGTCAAATGCTAATAATATTACATTTGATCAACTTAAAAGTCATTAAAAATAGCTATTTTCGATCGAAAATAGCCACTAAAAAGTCGAGAATAAGTTAGGAAAATTTGTCTTCAAAAGTTCCACAGAAACGAGTCCTCAGAGGATACTTCACTGTCATCGGGCCAACTATCAAGGCTAGGCAACGGCAGAGCCAAAAAATCGTCGAATCCCGGAAATATTCCGAAATCCGATACGTTATTCTCCGTCCCTATACCCAAAAACTGGTCTAAAAACGCTGAGTCTAAGGGTATATCATTAATTTCAGTATCCAACTGAGTCGCATCCTCAGGCCCGGATGAATAAACAGACTCAGAAGATGAGAGCGAAGAACACTGAACATCAGAACTGTCAACATGAACCGGACTGGGCATCCGGGTCTGCTCTGAATCTGACCGAGCAAACTGTGCCGCCGCCACCTGGATTTCTGCCGGCTTCATCGACCTCCCGTTGACTATCTCAGGTGGATTATCCGGGAAATTGAATTTGGCGTTACTGCCGCGTAGGCAAAACAGAGCCGCGTCGAATGCACGCGCGGCCTTTTCCGCCGTGTCAAAGGAGCCTAACCAGATTCTTTCACGACTGTTGGGCAGCCTAATTTCAGAGACGTATTTCCCCCACTTCCTCTTCCTCACACCCTTATACTTACAAGATGATGAATCATTCGCCTTTTCTAAAATTGATTGCTGCTTCTTTTCATTAACTGACTTCACCATTTTTTTTTCCCTTAAAACTTAAATCTTTTCGGTAGTTCGAGATTGAGAATTGAGATTGTATTTTTGTTGGGGAGAAATGGCGGCTTTGAGGTGTATATATATATGTGTGTAAAGGTGAAGCTAGCGAAGAGTGAGTATAAAGTGTACGAGTCAACAGGTGCGCGTTGAGAAATGACACGCTGGGAGTAAAAAAAAAATGTTATTACGCGTTTGGTTTGGTTTGGTTTAGAGCACATGCGGAATATGAGTTCCTCGTGGACAAATTTGCGACTGATCTAGGAAGGACGAAAGCGACCTTTTTGTCCCCAACTAGCGTGCAATTAACATGTTGTCAATGCTTATTTTGGAAGAAACTATAAGACAACACTTCAATTTCAACTATAGTGAATCTTGTCGTGCCATTTGCTAGTGGCTTGACAATTTTGGTATAGGGATCGATAAATATATCAGAATGTTTATTGCCTCAACTTATTATTATATATGTATTTTTGATATTTTTATGTTTGAGGAGAGAATTCCACAATTGCATGGCGAAGAAGTTGATATTGTCGGATCTATGAAGTGGAGAAGGATTAGATATGAAGATGCACTCGATCCGAATGGTTGGATGACAAAGATTGGATCCAGTAACAAATTTCTTTAAATCATAGCCAACCAATGAAGAGTGAAATTGTACTTCAAGAGAAATGACACGAGATGAGAGGTGTTGGACAAGAGGGGAAGGCGATGGTTGGGGTGTTGTCAGCCATGGAAGTAGAAGTGAGATTAATGATTTCCTCTTCCAATTTATGTTCTAATACCATGTTAAAATAAAATTATAACGTGACTCTGCTATAGTACTAATCCAATCCAATGATAATGATAATACAACATGATATGTGGGACAAGAATTCTAATTGCTTACAACATTATCTCTAACAGTATAACTTGGGAGAAACTAATGTTTCATATTAGTGGGGCCATGTCCATCTAGGATATTTCGAAAATTTGACATTTTTGGTTGAATGAAGGCATTGAAAAAATGGTATGTATGGGTTGTTTTGACATAATTTTGAGTACATGTACATATCACGAATTTGATTAGTATATCGGGTCATTGAACTTATGTATGAACGCAACCTCACTCGTGAATGTCAAAGTCAAATTGGCCTCTTAGAAGGTCCACCTTTTACCTTTATTTCTTTTTTTTTTTTCCTTCAACTAACCTTCTAACTTTTGAAACTCTAGAGATTATACCTACTTTAATAAGATGTTAATGGTTGGCTAATATATGAATTCAAGTCACACTTCATGCAGTTGAGCCTATATAGAGCTAGATTTTTCCTCTCTTCCACACACGAATTTTCATTGTTCTCCATCTATGTATAATTTCCACTTGTCTACATAGATTTTTCATTTTTGTGAAAAGTTTCGGAAATAGTTCTAATCAAATTCATTTTTTCAGAGTAGAAATAGAAGTGCTTTAATTCTACCTATATCTCCGTTGTATCATAGGAAACAAATGCTCAAACGAAACTTCAAGCATTTATGGTGAGGGGGATAATCTGTTTAAAAGACACTCTGTAATACACGGCCCCAGTTTGCAATTGTGTTCTCTCTCTTTAGCGATTATTATATTCTTGCAATTCTTGATTTCCTGTTTTGTTCTTTCTTTAATCAATAAAATATATTTTATATTTTGAAAAATTTACTAATCGGCTTAAAATGGATTCTAAAAAGAACAAAGATGTAGTTATTTTAATCTTCGTTAAAGAATTGTTATTTGTTTGGTTTTTCATAAATGACAACTGAAGCAACCCATATGGACATGGCTACTGAAAACTAGATTGTAGTTAAATTGTCAAGTTATGATGTGACCCAAACACTAAATCAACTGGCCCTACTGTAAATATATCGATTAATCATGGGAAAAACCAAAGAAATTCAATGGTTTGAATTTCAGAAGGTGGCAACCGAAAATATTGTATTATATGACCACTTTGAATCCTGCAAGTTTTTGATTGAGGATGCTACAAAACTCGATGAAGGTAAGGGACATGTCCAAGCTATTAGTGCATTTGATTCTTGTAAATATTCTGACCTTTTGTGTCGCAGCTATATCATAAACAGTTTGGTTGATTAATTATAAGCTGATGGACTAAATAATTGTGGTCAGTCAAGTACAAGAACTTCAAGTGATTCTAAATAAAATTCATGCAAAATGGATGATTTTAGTGAAACTTTCCAAGTGGTTGCTATTATTGAGAAACTGACTCCGACGTTGAAATATTTCAAGAATTATCTTAACCACTAGCAAAAGGAAATGAAGACTGATTAATTATTAGACTTCAAATTAAAGAAGACAACATAAATTCTGAAAAAAGGGTTTAATCCACTTGTGGATAAAGCAAATGTTGTGGAGCATGGTTAAACTTCTAATATATACAAGAACGAATCTAAGCCATTCGGTGGCACAAAAAGGCTAAACTGGGATTGAAATGTGAAAATTTATAAGAACGAGTTTCAAGGAAATGCTTCAATTGTGATAGAGTATGTCATAAATCTCCAAATGTATATTGCCAAAGAAGACCAGTAGTAAAGAAGTGAATGGAGTTAACTAGATGGCACATGATGTATATGAATGAACCTCGCAATTGTTATTTCTGAAGTAAATTTGGTGGGTTCAAACACAAAAAAGTGATGGATTGACACTAGTACTACGAGGCATGTGTGATATGATAAAGAGTTATTCACTTTGTTTGAAGTTAGTAAGAATGTAGAGAAGTTATTTATGAAAATTCAGCAACGTCTGAAATCAAGGGTCAGGATAAGAGAGTTTTAAAGATTATTTTTGGGAAAGAGTCGACTCTTAACAATGTATTAGATGTGCCAAAATCAGCAACAATCTAGTGTTAGGGTCATTTCTAAATGAACATGACTTTCTTGTAGTGTTCGAGTCAGACAAATTTATTTTTGTCTAAAAGTAAAATATTTGTTGACAACGATTATGTATTTGATGGGCTATTTAAGCTCAATGTAATTGTTATCAAACTGAAAATGAATAAAATTAATTCTTTTTCTTACTTGCTTGAGTCTTTCAATTTATGACATAGTAGACTAAAATATGTTAATTATGATACTTTACGTAGATTAATTATCTTGAATTATATACTCGGATTTCATATTAACTCTAAACATAGTTGTGAAACTTGTGTTGATACAAAATTGACAAGGTCATTATTTTAATCTATTTAAAGAAATACAGAATCACTTGCTTTAATTCGTAGTGACGTATGTGATTTAAAAGTTATACAAACAAATACTTCGTTACTTTTGTAGATGATAGCAATAAAATATTGTCATGTGTTTATTTGACAAAAGTAAGGATGAAATTATAGAGAAATTTGTATTCTATAAGAATGATGTGCAAACGCTACCTTGTCAATTTGTTCTAAAAAAATCGTTCTCTATAAGAAATTTGTGCTCAAGTGCACCAATGCCGAATCGAAATTGGTCCCTTAGCTGGATCCACATTTTCCCTTTGTATCCTGTATTTTTTATTTTTTTTCACCAATTCACCTTCCATCTTTTGAAACTCATGAAACTCCAATGGTTATAGTTATTTTCATAAAATATTAATGGTTGGTTAATAAATGAATTTAACTCACCCACTCATAGAGCTGAGCCTATAATAGAGCTCGATTTTTTCTTTGTTCCACACACAAAATTCCATTCTTATATGTTTGCATATAATTTATAGTTCTTGTCTGCTCGAAAGTTTTCTACTTTATGTCAAAAGTCTTGATAATAGTTCTTATCAATTTCAATTCATCGGAGTAGAAACTGAAGCGCTAGATTTTGCTAGTTTTTCTGTTCTATCTTGGGAGGCAGAATTTTAAACGAAACCTCAAGCACTTATGTGAGGGAACAAATTTATTTTAAGGATACTATGTAATACATAGGCCCCAGTTTGCAATTATGTTCTCTCATTAGCAATCCCCACAATTCTTAATTTCATATTTTGTTCTTTTTTTAATCTATAAAATTTTATTATTATATTTGTTGACCTTAAAAAATAGTTCCACGCGTGGCCAACAAAATAAGTTTTCGTGTATGCTCCTCCTTGAACACTGTAGCAAACCGTTAGTCACTCATGCCCTTTTTCGATGGGGATGGAAGCGGCCACGAGGACTCCGACGGTCAAGTCAGTACTTCAGTATTTCAGTCAATCGGAAAGTGGTTCCCAACGGTAAAGTGGTCACAGGATTGTGATTGAGAGTATGTGTGAATATAGTGAAAGACTCTTTTTTGTTAAAAAGACTAGAATGCCTAGATTTGAATGGGAACCCCCTATTCTTATCAGTGTGGGGGTATTTATACTAGAGAAGGGAAGGGGAGAATCGTTGGATGGGGGGACACGCGACTTTGGATCTCGGATGTGTCATCCTTTCATAGGCGTCAATCTATAGGTTGACGGGCATTAAATGATTTCTAACATAGCAACTAAGTTGAATGTTTGTAGCCTGTCTCACGTCCCATCAATCAGTCATGGACTTGACTTTGGAGAGATCTCATAAAAGATCTTGGTAGAGGTGTGGTGAGGCGGATTGTAAATAGTAATGAATACAGAGTATGGGCCATTTCCTCCGCCGTGAATGGCAGATGAGTTCGACTCTCTTACCACTTGGGCAACAACGTTTCAGTTCGGAGTCATGGAATCAATTCATCTGATACGAATCCAGTTCATCCGTCACATGGCAACACCAAATCAGTTCGTCTAGCATGTGACGAATGAGGTGGATGGTCGAGGTGGAGGGCCTCTGAATGCCCATAACAATATTCTTCAATTTGTGGCTAACAGAAGGACCGATGCATAGGGGTTTATGCGTTTGCATCACCTAACATCAAAACAATTGTGATTTCGTTGTACTATCCAATTTTATATGGTTTGAGGTCTCTTTGATGAGCATCATGCTAAGTCTTTGTTTGACCTCCATTATAATAAGAATTTGGAAAAAATG